AATGAGCTCGAAGATCGATACTGGAGCGCTGTCACACTTGGCTACCATTCATGGCTACCAGAAAAATTGTTTATCAAGTGGAAAAAATTCTTCTGCACACATCTGGACCGACATCTTGTGTGCAAAAGATGACAAAAAAAAAAAGAAGATATTTTTATTTGATTAATGGCGTTTCAGGAGATGCAAACTATTTATATTTATATATGTGTCACGCAGGCTCTACTTCTGTGTATTGGGTTTATTCAGGATGTAAACGGTGATGGCTCTCCACCATTTTCCGTCCTTTGTAATGATGATGGACAGAAAAGGTTTTTTGTGCTGCTTAAAGGAAATAATTTTTGTTTTAGAGGCGTTGTAATTAAGAAATCATCCCTTGATCTAAGTTACTTTCTGCTTGGAGGCCATTTTCTAGATTAGTTGTCAGGTTTACTTTGTCGGGTCGGTCAAGTAAAGTGTCATCTTTATAAAAACCTAATGGGAAACAGATGACATCGGGGAGGTCATTGATAAAGATCAGTCACAGAGTATGGAGTAATAGCGGCTCGGACTGAGGATTCGGAGAGCCGAGTTCGAATTCCAGTCGAATCCATTACATGCTAATAACCTTAGAAAAGGAATGAATCCTCTTCTTCTCCTCCCAGCTATGTTTAAATAGCAGGACAGACTGCAACTTGGATGGCAATTAGTCTAACACAGAAAGAAATGTCACCCTACTGCGGGAAAAATCTGCCTTGACAATCATGTATCGAAAGATACATGATCGCATAAGCGTGCATCAAGCATGGCACATAACTGAAGTAAAAACTGTAACTTTGTCGCAAGCAAATCTCAGGATGGGGAAATGGTGGAGTAATGGATAGCGGCTCGGATTGAGGAATCGGAGAGCCGAGTTCGAATTCCAGTCGAATCCATTACATTCACTTACGTGCTAATATCCTTTGGTAAGGTGAGTCCTCTTCTTATGCTACCAGTTATGCGTAAATAGTAGGGCAGACTAGGTTCTACGGCCTTTGATGGCAACTGGTCTACATTAAAAAGAAATGGCAACCTACTGCGGGAATAAATCTGCCTCGTATCGAAAGATACATGATCACCTAAGCATTCTGAGAGCAGTGTTTGTTCGAATCAATCATTTTGCGCAGGGTAGGGCCCTTGGGAATCCCCGCGCTAATATAAAATGATCTGGAAGCGTATCCGTTGAAATTGAACTTCATTCAAAGTAGCTTTTAATTTAACAGTTCTAACTTTACGATTTAAAGTGGCTTTTATAGTATTACAAGGAATTGAATTTTTGCTTATTAAGCGAATTAATAATTATTATTAATAAGAGCGAACTGAACGTTATTCCTAAGATATATCATGTTGTGAATATAATGAATTACGGGAAACTTTTCGACCAATCCCTAACTATTTTTTGTCTGATCTTAGAGGGAACTTGCAGTCCATTGAAGATCTTGAATGAATATTAAGCTCTTTCTCTAAACTCATTGCAGCCTGCATTCTGAAAGCAACGTTTATTCGAATCAATCCTCTTTGCTTCCGAAATGAACATCGTTTCTGTGAAGATATGCTTTTGGTATGACTAGTGTTGCTTTCTTTTGCATTTTGCATGATCTTTTGCATCACTGCCATCTTGTCTGAATTAGCTCCTCCTTAATTCCCTAATTGTTCACTAGGTGTCGCTCTCCTTATACTATAAATACTGGGCGACTTCTTGATTCGTTAGCTTTTTTACTTTGCATTTCAGCGGACATATTTAAAATGTGATCTCTCGCAGAGATCAGCGTTTTTGTCCACTTGTAGGAAACACACATACACGTACGTACGAACGTTCACAAAAATACAAATTCTTTACGTTCACACACAAACGCAAATGTTGATGTCTTTGTCACTTATAAATTTGTTGTTTAATACATATATTTGTTCATCAACGGTTACAAATTCTTTGAAAAAAACATAGCACTTTCTTAGGTTTAAGTCACGAATCGCATAATGATTTAAGTTATTTTTTCTTGTAACTTATATGGAAATCATTCATCAAAGCGACTAACATAAACTATATGGTAACATTGATTTTCAGCACATGATTTGGGTATTTTTTTTTAGTCTGTTGGTTATCTTCCACATCTTTGCTTGTTCCCATATAATATCTTGATTTGATTACTATCAGTCAAAATTAGCGCAACATTCAGCGGGAATCTCAGGACTGAATCATTGCAATCCGTTTTTGACAGGTTCGATCGTGCCCAGTACCTTCTCCAGAAACTGCAGAAATAATTTTTTAGGTTTAATTTTCATCTTTACCAGAGATTTTTTTATCAATTCACCCCAAACAAGGCGATAAAGCCACTAAGACAGAAGGGTGCTACTGGGAGTGAATGTGAATGAGAAGACTTTAAAAAGAAACCCAATCCTAAACAATCAACAAGGAATAAACCACTCACCGTGTTCAAAAGACCATAGAATCTTTTCTGCCTACCATCATTACAAAGGACTGAAAATGGTTCAAATTTTTCTCGCAAGAATCCATCTAGCATATTTATACATCTAGCATTCTTGCTTGCATTGAATGTTGCGGCCATATTTGATCTGGTACTTCTGCTTAGGGTTGTTGACAAAATATGAAGAAGTATCTGCAATGTAATGGATCCTGATCTGGCATCTCGACTGCAGTCATTTTCTCACAGAAAAAATTAAAAAAATTAAATGCAACTTATGTCTTCCTGAAGTCTGTTCCTTTATTGTCTTTTCCTCAATTCTCCTATTCCCATTCTCTTTCACTCGTTGTACCCCCATTTGCGGCTAAGTGGTATTATCACCTTGCTTGGGGTGAAACGATTCAAAGAGACTTTCAGCAAATGTTTTCTGACAAAGGTGAAAGTATGTGGGAGGTTCGAATTATGAAGTTGCGCGAAAGATGGTAGAAAATAATGGAAATAATTAAATATGTTGTTCTTTTAAATCTTTTCTTAGTTTTATCGACGAACATTTTTTTCGGTGCGTCGCTAACAAAGACAAACGCTTGTAAGTTGGAACGCTTAACAGTGTTACGTGTTCTAATACAATTAAAACCAAGATTTCAAATATTGATTTTCAAGGAAAGCAGACAGTCTCTTTCCACTGAGAATAAAATCTTCCTTTACTTTTATTTTGGTTGTGAGTAACATTAAATTCGTACCTAGCGTCACTTTGTTGGCATGCTTCTTTCTCTCAATAAAAATAATCATAATAAGTAGGTACCTCCAAACATTCAGTAAAAATTGAGCATGCCTAATAATAATAATACTACAAGTCAAATAATAATAAAAATACAAGCCTAATAATGATAATAATAATAATAGTAAAAAATATAACCCTAATAATAAAAATACTACAACTTTCATAATAATAATAATAATAAAAATACTACAAGCCAAATAATAATAAAAATACAAGCCTAATTTGATAATAATAAATTACTATAAGCCAAATAACAACAATAATAATAAAATACTATAAGGCTAATATCAATAATAACAATAATACAAGGCTAGTAATAATAATAAAATACTAAAAGCCTAATAATACTATTAAAAGCCTAATAATAAAAATACTACAAGCCTCACAATGATAATAATAATAATAAGCCTAATAATAATAATAATACAAACCTAATAATAATAATGCTACAAGGATAATAATAATAATTAAAGTATTACAAGCCTAATAATAATAATTTTGTGATGTTAACGAACACTCGTTACCAATCTTGTGATGTCAACGAATATTCGTTGTTACTTTCGTGAAGCTCGTTGTAGTAGAGACTTTGTAATCGCAGATAAAACTATAGTAACGCCGTTGAACAATGCTGGTATCAGATGAGAATAGTGGAGAAAAGAGAATAGCGATTCATATAGTAATAGTAGATAGAATAGAAATAGTAATCAGTATAGTATAGAGCATAGACTAGAAATAGCGATGGGTTAGATGTCACGCGACTTCTTACTTATGCGTTTTCCCCATGGTCACGTCTTCCACTTAATTTAATAATGGGATCGCCTGTTTTTGCTCACTGGCGAGCTAAGTTCAAACTCAATTGTCGGCAGTGACAATTTATTCTTATATAACAAATAATAATGAAAATACTACAAGCCTCACCCAGACCCGGTTACGGAGATAGGTCCTGTTACAATTCTATGGGACTACACAATACACACTGACAGAGCGGTCGGGGCCAACCGCCCAGATATTGTTATTAAAGACCATAAACAAAAACGGTGCCTCCTTATTGATATGGCAGTCCCTGCCGACTGCAATGTATCTTTGAAGATATTAAAAAAGTTGTCAAAGTACAAGGACCTTGAAATAGAAATCGCGAAAATGTGGCATATGGGAACATCAACAATCCCTGTTGTAGTTGGAGCCCTAGGACTGGTTGGAGGGGATTCCAGTAGACTAATTGAGGGGATACCTGGAGGTCCATGCCTCAAGGAGATACAGAAAATTGTTCTAACAAGTACAGCCCACACCTTACGAAGGGGTTTATCTATGTAATTTTTTTTTTTTTTTTTTTTTTTGTCAGTGGAAAGTGTCATGACGCCATTTCTAACCTTAGGTCTCTGGGCGGGACTCGGAAAGAAATGTGTAAACGCCAGAAATCAAAGAAAATAAAAATAATAATAATAAAATACTACAAGCCTAATAGAAACAAAGTCTTATCGTCAAAATCTTTATATTATTATTATTAGGAGAAAAGACGAAAGGAATAAATTTATATCAAAAGAAGATGTTTAAATCATTTTTAGAACCTTCAAAATTTGGTAAAACATTTTTCTTGCGTCAGCGGGTGACCCTGAATTAGTACAGAACATTTTAGCGTCTTTGCGGTGAAAACATATTTATTTGTAAATTCTTACAAAAATCAAATAATTGTCGGATTTTAATGAAATTTTCAGGACTTACTAACAAATTAATTAAATATTTCTTTTTTATGAAAAAGATAGATTATAGACATTATAGCCTTAAAATGTTGCTTTTGTTAAAGCAATAAATAAACTGCCGATAAATAAAGGAGCAGCAAGAAATTCAGCAAGGAAAAAGTGAATGGAGGTAGACGAAGGAAACATTCCATAAAAAATGAAAACTAGAAAATATCGAATACGAAGAGTTATCGATACGGTTACGCGGAGAACACTTAAAATGAGAAACTGCAAAACGTTAGAATATGTGCGTGACAACTGGGATCGAATCAACGGATTTCTAGAACTGATATTTCCGAAAAAAGACGGAAAAAATATAAATATACAAAAAAATGAAAGTATAGTCGAAAAAACGTTTTCCGTGCGCGTGTTAAAGGAAGAGATAGGGAGGGAGAGGGGGTGGAAGAGAGGAGGTGTGGCGAGAGGAGTGGAGACAAGAGAAAGGTGAAGAGTGAAAAAAGACAGAGACGGTGAAAGAGGGGCGGAGAGGGAAAGAAATGGAGAGGAGTGGAAAGCAAAAGAGAGTGACAGATGGAGATCAAAATAGGGAGACGGATAGGGCAAGAGAAAAGAAAGAAAGAAAGAAAGAAAGAAAGAAAGAAAGAGAGATACTTTCAGAAAATTCTATAGTACTTGCTTTCCAGTGAAACTCACCAGAGAAATCTCCTGTCAAGAAATACTACTACTGCTACTACTACTGCTACTACTACTACGACTACTACTACTGCTACTACTACTACGACTACTACTACTACTACTACTAAAAATAATGAAAAAACAATAGTAATAATAATAGGGATTAGAATAGGCTTTAGGGTTTCTCTTGTCCAAAGTTGTGCTATAATGAACGTAAGAGCACGCAACTAACATGTTCATTTTTTTCCCTTTCAAAACTCTGTATTGTTATAAGAGAACCGGAAAAAAAAGGTTTCACAGAATAACAGATTTTTTAATGAGAGTGACAAAAGATGCAGGAATTTCTTCTTTTTTTTTTTTTGGCTGACTTAAGAGAAAACAAGAAATATCGTTTCCAATCCTATTCACTTTCTCATTCGTCTCTCTGTTTGCTAGGCTTCTTTTATATTCCTGTAATTCACTATTTCATCTTTTGCATTCATTGTTTGCTAAGCTTCACTTACCTACGGTCAGTTAGTCAGTCAGTTATGCGTCATGCATAATACACGCTTAGGCGATCATGTATTTTTCGATACATGACTGGCGAGGCGGATTTTATTCCCGCAGTAGGCTGCCATTTCTTTCTGCAGTAGACCAGTTGCCATCAAAGGCTATAGAACTCGGTATGTCCTGCTATTTAACCATAAATTTTGAAAGAAGAAGATGATTCATACCTTTCCCAAGCACGTAAGTGAATGTAATAGATCCGACTGCATTTCGAACTCGGCTTTCCGATTCCTCAATCTGAACGGAAAACCATTATTCCATAGTGCCTTCTATGATACAAATCCTAATAGCATCAAATAGAACAAAGACAAAGAGGGATGGTAAGATTGTGTATCGTCAATATTCCAAGTAGAAAAGCAAAAGTACCATTTCCTTTCAGGACGTAGGCGATCATGGCCCTCTACAGATTCCTTTTTTATTCTCGTTTTTGGGAAATATGATGGAAGGGTTTTCCATTTCGTTCTCCGCGGCTTGATAGTAAGATTTTCTCTTCCTTTAGACCAGCTGACTATTTTCAAAACTGCCTTTTAGTTAGAATCGAACATCGAAATTTCTATCTCTAAAGAAATAGTTATTTCGACGACGGGGCAGGGTCGCTTATATCATATATTTTTCTTCCCAAATCTAAGTAATGGCGACATCAGAATCAAGCAGATAGAGAAATTGAGCAAGCTACAAAAAATGGGACACAGAATTCTGAAGACGCCTAGTAACAGCGAAAGATGCTTTCCAGAAAATAAACAAAGTATTAAGAGAAAGGAAAACTCTGTTAGAAAGAAAAAATGCTGAATGTCTTGTAATGAAGTCTCTTGTGATGAAAGTTGGACAATTTACACACAAATAAAAAGAGACTTAAATCGACAGACAAATAGTCTTACCGACGAATGCTCAGAATACCTTAGACAGAAAATTTGAGCAACCATGAATTCTAAGGATTGTTTGTGGTTTTTTACGGCTTATCGACACTTTATTGGTTATTTAAAACCGAAGCATTCTTCGAATTATAGGAGGTCGCAAACAGTACCGGTGTTCCCAAGCCGTCCTCCCTCTAATTATTGACCCAGCTCTAGGTTGCTTAACTTCGGTGATTGAAAAGAGAACCGGTGTTTCCAACAGTGTTTGTCCTTTAGCAAGTTTAAATGAAATAAGGGCAAACAAACCTATGCTTACAATCAGAATAAAGCATCGAATTTCCTGTAATACATCATAGGAAAGAGGTACTGGAGAGTTTAACACTCACAGCGCATTGAAAGCAAGAGAAACAGGAGCAAACAGCGACTAATCGACGAATCTGTGTGTATAAATGGCAGAACAAAGACAAAGAGGGATGGTAAAGTGTAAAGAAACACTTAGTGCAACAAAAGTCGGTAAGTTGTACAGAATCAAAATCGTTCAAGGTCAGACTAGACCTGGCATATAACAGAATTTTGAGTTTTTTTTATGGTTTATCAATCATTTGAGGATTATTTGAAGTCCGAAAAAATTTTTAGATTGTCAGAAATTTTTGGAGGTAATAATGATTTATTGATACAAGTCCTACTAACTAACCCATAGCTGAAGTGAGAAGGCGTGAATTCATTCTTTTCCCAAGGGTTTTTTTGGACGTAAGTAAATATAACGAACTCGACTGTAATTTGAACTCAAACATCCATGCTGCTGGGCTTAGATAAGCAGACGAACACTATATATATATATATATATATATATATATATATATATATATATATATATATATATATATTACAGTGACTATTATACCTATATAGCGAGACTCTTCGCGAAAGCAAATTGAGTCACTGTCGGTCACTGGGCGTGTTTCTAAAAATAAATACGCTAAATCCACCTTCATCCCTATCGTGACGGCTTAGTGGTTAGAAGCTCCGACTGACACCAATTCAGTCGGATTTCGATCCTAGCTAGAGACAACCGGATGTCTAGCCACACTGATGAGCTGTAAACAGCGAAACAGTCAGTCTGTGGATGACGTTATATATATATATATATATATCTTTATTGTTAGAGTTGCGGTGAATAGAGGGTGGGAGAATCAAAGAGGTTAGAAACGCGCACACAGGAACTGACGGAGAGAAATCTTCGGTGAACCTCTAGCAAGCCTCTTTGTCCAAATCAAGACTCGGACTGGTTATATAACACCGATGTAACTTCACATGGCTAAGCCTTCTTCCGGTATGTCGCCTGCGCCACTTTGTGTGGCCAGGCCTTTCTCGGAAGGCGCCCACGCAAGGTCGCATTTCCTTCCGCTGAGGACACCTGTGTGCCCTGTTTATTTTAGCCGCAGGATGCATTTCCTGTTTAGTCTATCACCAGTTCCGATTTCCGCTCACACACTGATGCAGCGGAAGTAAGACCAAAGGTCTTTCCTCAACCGATATCCCGCACACGTTTACAGCATCTGGTATTCCAAAACGTTCACCCACCTAGCTACTGACCACGCTCGATGTTGTTTAAATTCGTTATCATACGAGAACCGGTGTTTCAACGTGATTTGGCCGTAAGCCAGCATATAAAAGAACATCTTGATCAATATGTACTTGTGAATGTTTTGATTTACAGGAATAAAATGCGCTATTTCTTTCTGATTTTTTCTATTTCTTTTCCATTTGCTGACGTTTTAAACTTCCTGTTTCTACTCTTAGATGTCTTCTTGTTTCTCAGTCACCCACGTTTTGTCAATCTAAAGTCGTCGTTGCCAGCGAAAAATAAATAAAATATATAAAGCATTTATGAATTGCTTCTCTTACTCGTCTTGTCTCTGGGTACATAAAAGCAAACTTCATTATTGATTGAAAGTTCGAAGCTATGTAATCGTTTCATCTTCTGGTTTTACATCTTTGTTGATGGATGTTTTTATCTGATGGGAAAGAGAATCTTTTCTTTTTTGCATAACACAATGAAAAGAAAATAGCTGTCAAATTTTTACGAACTGTAAATTTGAACTGAAACTTTCTAAATAAAACAATATGAAATTGTTTCGTTAGCTAAACAATTCTAGGAGTAATGCGTCACTTACTTGAGTAAAATGTTTATTTACGACGTCAATCACACAAAAAGTAATTTGCGGCCACAATCTTAATAACATAACACACGGAGATGGCACAGTGTTGAATGCAGACACAGAAAGAAAACTAAAGAACTCCGACAAAAGGTAGTGAAGGAAAGCGAGAAGAAAGGACTAAACATCAATTGCAAAAAGACAGAATGCATGGTTGCTAGCCAAACGGACAGACGAAAATGCAACCTTTCTGAGTAATTATTTTCTCTGGTACCCCGACTACATGATTGACATCTTGGTCCCACCCGTTTACTGTTGAAATAGCTAAATGCATCCGCCACTTCTACTACAACCATTTCTTTTTTCGCCCTTCCCGTCTGTGCAACTCCCCTCCGCTTACTTGCTTCACTGATAACGCCATCTTCTATCATCTTGAATCCTGTCTGTTCATCTTTGGTCTTTCCTCACTCCTCCCTATACTTAGTCTTTTCTCTCACTTTCACTCTCTGTAACCCCATGCGCATTAGTGGCATTCCTGCCTTGCTTGTGGGTGAAATGGCTAAAAGAAATGTCACTGTGATAAAATCTGAAGTTAAAGAGATAATGAATTATTCTTTCATGGCAAAAATATAAAATAATATTTACAATCATTTTCTACTTTCAAAAATTTAAATAACGACCTTAATTAAAGACACTGGTTATAGATGTGGATGAATTAAAAATATATAAGGAGAAAAAATTCAGTCCGCAGCTATGGTAGGTGCAAATGGTGAAAACAGTTCTTTTTTTGTACGTGTACATATATTTTTATGGCAACTGCCTCTGACGAGCTTTTCTCCCTTATACGCCGACTACATGAATTTAAGCGTTCTACTAGATTGGCATCTAGGTCCCACCCGTTTACTGTTAAAATAGCTAAATGCAACCACCATTTCTACCCCAACAGTTTATTTTCTCGCTCTTCCCGCCTGTGCAACTCCCTTCCGCTTACATGCTTCCCTGATAATGATAATCTTCAAAAGTTTGGTTGGTTTGGTTTGGTTTACGGCATATCAACCTCACTGGGTTATGTAATGTCGATAATTTTCATTACTTGTGATATTTTGTTTTTGTTTTCAAAAATCTATTTCTTGTAATGTTTCTTTCGTCAAAAAATCCATTTCTGGTAATATTTTTCTTCAAATATATTGCTAGTAATAATTTCTTTTTCAAAAATATATTGCTGGCAATAACATTTTTTTCAAAAATTTATTGATGTTAATATCTTTTTTTTTCAAAATGTATTGCTGATAATAATTTTTTACAAAGTATTTCTGGTATTAAAATACATTTTTTTCACTTTGATAGTGGTTTGGCCCCAGTTTGAGAGGTTAACTATTTGCCCATAGCTGGGACCCTAACGGGTGCTACCACCCC